TCGAACTCCTGACCTCAGGTGATCCACCCACCACCTCAGCCTCTTAGAGTGTTGGGATTACAGGCGTGAGCCACCGCGTCCGGCAGAATTTTCTCAATTCACTTAGCTGGTACATGACGCAGCCAGTATGATCTAATGCTAGAAAACAACCACTGCAATCCTACCTCCTGAGACAGAACATTCATCATGCAGCTGCTGTCACCCTGTCCAGCCAATCCCTTAACAAGGCATCAGGAGCCCCGAGTTCAAGTTCTGGCTCTGCTGCTGGCTGGCTGTGTAACCTTGGCCAAGTCCCTTACCTTCTCTGGGCTTCAAGAACCCAGGAACCTCTGCCAGGCACAGTGGCTCATGTCTGTAATCTCACCACTTTGGGATAACAAGGCGGGCAGATCATGAGGTCAAGAGATTGAGGCCATCCTGGCCAACATGGTGAAACACGATCTCTACTAAAAATACAAAAATTAGCTGAGTGTGGTGGCATGCACCTGTAGTCCCAGCTATTTGGGAGGCTGAGGCAGGAGATTCTCTTGAACCTGGGAGGTGGAGGTTGCAGTGAGCCAAGATCATGCCACCGCACTCCAGCCTGGGTGACAGAGTGAGACTTTTTCTCAAAAAAAAAAAGAAAGAAAGAAACCCAAGAACGTCAAGAACATTTGAGCAGCCCAAACATTCCCTGCGCCTGGGTCCCATGGCTTCTCCTTGTCCCATTCCAGCAAAGCCCCTCATTGTCCTCAGGGTCCTACCCACCTATCTTCAGGACTCCCGATGTCTTCAGGACACCCCCCATTTCTCTCCCCAGGAGCACTGATGGTATACATAGGTTCTGAATCAGGCAGGCTTGGATTCAGTCCCCATATCTTACCAGGTGACCTGACTCGAGTTGTTGCATCTTTCAGAGCCTCGGTTTCCCCTTTGCAGGGTTGCTGGGAGGCTGACGGGACCCAGTAGTGTAAAGTGCGTGGTAAATGGCAGGCACTCTTGTGGCCTCTCTGTGCAGACAATCAAACTTCAGCACCCTCTCTGTGTCAAGCCTTATTCTGGATCTGGAGACAAGCTTGTCCCTCCGTGAGAAGGGAGTAAGATGGACAATAAGCAAGTCAACAGATCCACAAAGAAGAGCATTTCGGACTTTGTGCAGAGCCAGGGAGAAATACAGGTGATGTGACCCAGAGGGCTAGGGATGACTGTTTCATTTTTTTATTTTTGAGACGCAGTCTTGCTCTGTCACCCAGGCTGGAGTGCAGTGGTTCGATCTCAGCTCACTGCAGCCTCCAGCTCCTGGGTTCAAGCGATTCTCCTGCCTCCACCTTCCAAGTAGTTGGGATTACAGGCATGCACCATCACTCCCAACTAATTTTTTCTTTCCCCCAAGACAGAGTCTTGCTCTGTCACCCAGGCTGGAGTGCAGTGGTTCGATCTCAGCTCACTGCAGCCTCCAGCTCCTGGGTTCAAGCGATTCTCCTGCCTCCACCTTCCAAGTAGTTGGGATTACAGGCATGCACCATCACTCCCAACTAATTTTTTCTTTCCCCCAAGACAGAGTCTTGCTCTGTCACCCAGGCTGGAGTGCAGTGGTTCGATCTCAGCTCACTGCAGCCTCCAGCTCCTGGGTTCAAGCGATTCTCCTGCCTCCACCTTCCAAGTAGTTGGGATTACAGGCATGCACCATCACTCCCAACTAATTTTTTCTTTCCCCCAAGACAGAGTCTGGCTCTGTCACCCAGGCTGGAGTGCAATGGCACAAGCTTGGCTCACTGCAAACTCTACCTTCCAGGTTCAAGTGATTCTCTTGCCTCAGCCTCCAGAGTAGCTGGGATTACAGGCATGCACCACCACACCCAGCTAATTTTTATATTTTTAGTAGAGACAGGGTTTCATGTTAGCTAGGCTGGTCTCAAACTCCTGAACTCATGATTTGCCCACCTTGGCCTCCCAAAGTGCTGGGATTACAGGCGTGAGCCACCTCTCCCAGCTAATTTTTCTATTTTTAGTAGAGACGGGGTTTGGCCAGGCTGGTCTCGAACTCCTGACCTTAGCTGATACGCCCACCTAGGCCTCAAAACTCAGGTTTTGAAAGGTGACTCTAACACCAGAGTGGAGCCGAGATTGAGCTACCACTTTCCAGCAGAGAAAGAGCCTGTCTCCAAAAAAAAAAACCAAAAAAACAAAAAACCCTAAAATTAGCCAAGCATGGTTGTGCGCCTATGGTTCCAGCTACTGAAGCAGGGTGAGGGGGTGGGTTTAGGTGGGAGGATCCGTTGAGTATGGGATGTTGAGGCTGCAGTGAGCCAAGATCATCCACTGCCCTGGCATGGAGTGAGAACCTGTCTCCAAAGAAGAAGAAGAAAAAGTGTGCTGGCAGATTCCAAGGCAGATGAGGTGCCACATGTGGTGATGAGGCTAGAAAAGGTGTTCTGGCCAAAGAGACCACCTGTGTTGGGCTCTGTCAGCTTGCCCTGCAGACCCCGTCTGCATGTCTGCATTCCTGACCTCCCTGCTTTGCCAGGAAGCTAAGCTCCACCTGCTGCACCCCCAGGCCCCTCAGCCCATAAGAGGCCCAGCTGGAGAGCCATGGCCAGGAGGAGATTAGGGTGATATTTGTTCCCCCAGCGCCCTCCCTGCAGGCTGCAAGGGACCAGGGGCTTCAAGTCTCCACTGTGGGCCACAGCTCGTGGGCAGCCCTCCCCGGTTATGCCAATGGAGCAGTGTGCACTGGAGTGATGTCCCTCAGTCGCTAGCCCCAGTGGTTTCAGCTACTTCCTGCAGAGGCCCTGAGAGCTGAAGGAATTTGGTTGGGCATCATTTGAGTCAGGCATCACTACTGGACGGGACTGTTTCATTGCTCCCTGTCACTGAGTCCCCTCCGCAGACCCTGAAGAAGGGCTGTCATCTCCTCATCCTAGTGGCAGCAGCTTTAGGCACTCAGGGCCACACCCTCCTCCTGGCTCTTCCCCACCACACTCCTGGTTTTCCTCTCTGCTCCCTCCAGCTGCTCTTTCTGGTCTTTGGCATGACTCCACCTCCTCTGCCTGAACTGGGAATGGTGACCTTCCTGGGGCACCCTGGGCCCTCTTCTCTCCACAGTAAGCCCACCCTTTCCCGCTGTTGTAGATGCCCCCTGTATAACCCCAAGCCTCTGTCTCCAGGCCAGACGTCCTGTCTGAGCTGCAGACTCCCGAGTTCAGGAGCCTCCACTTGGAATGACTCACAAGCATGTCAAACTCAGCAGGGCTGGAACGGAGCTGTGGACCTTGCCCGTGTTTCCAACTCCTCGGCCTCCCTCTTCCTCGCCCATCCGGGGATCAGGCCAGGAAGTGGGGGCCATTCATGCCACCCGCCTCCCCAGCACCCCCAGTTCACCCAGTGTTTATATCTCACCTCCCAAATACATCTCCCCGGGGCCAAGTGAGGTCTGCTCTCCTGGGATGAAGGCAGGGCGCCCTGACACAGTCCCACTGCAATGAAAATAACAGCAAATTCCTCACCATGGCTGGCCCCTCCCACCAAAACCACCACCTTCAGCTCTCCCTCTCCCCAACACCCTGTTGTCCCACTGGACTTCCCTCAGTTATCTGGATAGCCTTCCCCTGAGGTCAGATGCCCACAGGTGCCACTCACTCCTACTCATCTTCCACCTTCCAGTGGAAGAGTCCCTCTGTATCCCAGGTCTCAGCTCTCTCCTGTCCTGACTCCCTGCCCTTCTCTGTCACAGTGTCAGCCTCTGTTGCAGCCATCGTTATGTGTGAAACTGACTTGGCACATTTCTAGCTCCCCCAGTCCAGCAGCTCCAGGAGGGCAGGACTGGTTCTATGTATACGCAAGAGCTTAGGACACGGTGGAGTCTGTTTGTTGAGTGATTCTTTTACTATTTTTTTTTTCTTTTGAGACAGAGTCTCGCTCTGTCACCAGTCTGGAGTGCAGAGTCATGATCTCAGCTCACTGCAACCTCTGCCTCCCGAGTTCAAGCTATTCTCCTGCCTCAGCCTCCCTCAGCTGGGACTACAGGAGTGCACCACCAAACCTGGTTATTTTTTTATTATTAGTAGAGACGGGGTTTCACCATTTTGGCCAGGATGGTCTCGATTTTTGGACCTCGTGATCCACCTGCCTCTGTCTCCCAAAGTGCTTGGATTACAGGTGTGAGCCACCTCGCCCAGCTTATTTTTAAATTTTTTATTATCAGTAGTTGAACATAGATGTTGAGTGCATAGATCCCCATCTCACAAGCACGGAAATTGAGGCTTAGAGACAGTAAGAATCCAACCCTGGAGTGTTAGACTGTGCTATGCTCAACTGTGAGCCACAGCCAGCTCTAGGCAGGGTCGGGACAGGTTCAGATGGGTGTGAGGAAAAACTGAATATTCAATGCTCAGCCCTGTGCCTGGCAGGTGGTCAGCATTTAACATTATTCCCTGCCACAGTGTGGACCAGGGCCCAGAGAAGAGGGGGCTGCTTGCCCCTCACACCCCCTCCTGGATTCCTGCAGCAGGGACCCTGGGGACATGTCACCACCCCTCCCAGCCCTGCACCGCCCGGCTGTACTTACTAAGGGTCCGCCTAAAGCTACCCACATCAACTCACGCTCGAAGTAAAAACTGAGCTTCTTGGACAGGTGTGGCTGAAAGTGGGTCTCTGAGCCTCCTCTCCCCAATTAGACCGCTGCCCCGGGTGCTGTCCAGGAGAGGGTCTGGTGCCGCCCTGACTTGGCAGCACTCTTCCTGGATGTACCCTAGCTGTCCCCACATCCTACTGAGTTCTGTGAATCAGAGACTGAACCCTGGGGTCTCCTGGCAGGCCCCACAGTAAAGCCTGGACCCCCAGGCGCTGCAGCCTTTCCTTCCAGACCAGCGGACAAGCCTGGCTCCTCTCCAGCCATGGCCAAACTTAAGCAACTACCCCCAGCCACTGCCAGCCCCTGCCCCTCTCCAGCCTCTGGGCCCTGGAGTAGCGCCCCCCTCCTCCCGGCTGTTATAGCCTGGGAAGGGGGCCAGGCCCTGAGCTCAGACCTTGGCGATTCCAGAGTGTCTGAGGCCCAGAGCCAGCCCCACCAGCACGGCCAGACGAAGGGAAAGGGGGGAGGTGGCAGGGTGGGCACCAGGAAGCATTCCGAGGGGCTGGCAGGGATGCCGTGTTCTAGCTTTGTTCTTTCAGCTCCTCTTCTGGACCCCACAGACTTCCTCCTGGGGCATCCGTGAGCCCTGGTCAAAGGCTGCCCCCACCCTTGAGGCCATTCCTCAGAGGGGAATGGACCAGCACTAATGAGAAGTGACTTCGGGGCCGTGGGACCCCCACGTGTGCAAGGGAGTCTGGGAAAGAGCTGGAAGGTCTGGGCTCCCGCCACACCCAGCCTCCATCGTCAGTGTGACCCTGCAGGGCCACCTCTCTCCAAGCCTCGGTGTCTCGCTCTACGCAGGCCTCCCCGCCCCGCCCGGAGGAATCCGCGGCCCGCCCGACGGTCCCAGGTGAGGGCCCTCTGGAAAGGGCCCAGCGCGGCGGCGGGTTCCGGCGGGGGCGGGCATCTAGGGTGGGAACCGTCCCCCACCCCCAGCCTCGGCCCGCCTGCACACCCTCGCTCCTCCAGGCGGCAGCGACGACGCTTTAAACAGAAAAAAAAACTGTGTGCCTGGCCCAGGGCCAGAGTCCCAGCCCCCCTCGCCGCCGCCGCGCCGCGCTGCGCTCCAGCCAGGGAAAACAACTGCTCACTTCTCCCTGCGCCCTCCCCGCGCGCTCCCTGCCTCCCGGCGGCCGCGGGAAAGGAGCCCGGCCAGGGGGAGGCGCGGAGCGGGCCGGCCGCCCGGCCTTCCTCTCCCTCGCTCCTCCTCTCCGCCTCAACTTGCTCCGGCCTCCTAGCTCTTGCCTGAGTTCGGGGCCTGGACTGGGCTTCGTCCCGGGGCCGGGAAGTTTCTGCGCTCCCCGCGATCCAGTCTCCATCTCCGCGCCTCCCGCCGGGCCCCGCGGTCCCCTCCCGCCTGCTTCCTCCGCTGCCCTCCCTCGCTACCCCCCACCCTCTCCCGGCCCTCTACTCACCTCGGGAGCGGGCCCCTCGCCCCGTCCGGGCGCGTCCCCCCCGGGGTCCGGTCCTGCGGCCCCGGATGCCCGGGCCCCGAGGGGCTGCTGGCGGCCTGGCCCCTGAGATGCGCGGGGCGGGGGCGGCGGGGCTGCTGGCGCTGCTGCTGCTGCCGCTGCTGGGCCTGGGCGGCGGGGCCGAGGGGGGGCCGGCCGGCGAGCGGGGCGCAGGCGGGGGCGGGGCGCTGGCCCGCGAGCGCTTCAAGGTGGTCTTTGCGCCGGTGATCTGCAAGCGGACCTGTCTCAAGGGCCAGTGTCGGGACAGTTGTCAGCAGGGCTCCAACATGACGCTCATCGGAGAGAACGGCCACAGCACAGACACGCTCACGGGCTCCGGCTTCCGCGTGGGTGAGGGCCGGGGGCACGGCTGCGGGCAGGGGAAGGACAGGCACCAGGTCCAGTGGGAGAGCTAGTGGGGTCTTGGCCTTAAAAGAGTGGGGGCTGAGGGTATAAAGGGCAGGGGTCTGGGGGCCCAGGGGTCTCAGGGGACTTGGGAGGCTGGAACTCTGGGGTCCAGAGTTGGAGGGCTGCATGGAGGCCTGAACTGTGAGGCTTTGCGTTAGGGTTGGGGCCTCAGGGGTGGGGAAATTCAGGGGTCCTGGATGACACAGGCTTCCCAGGAGGTGCTGAGTTCTGAGCAGGAGCACACGGGGTTTTTGAGGAATGTGAGCTGAAGATAGGAAGCCTCCGAGAAGGGATATATATTCTTCCAAGAAACAGACTTGCTGGAAGAAACAGGAAAAGTCTTTACAAAATGTCTAAAGTGAGGCTGGCCAAGGTAGACACCTGCATTCCCTGGGAGGAGGAGCTTAGGTCAGGGCTGGGGGTGGGAGCTCCATTACTGGCAAGGTCTGAGAAGGGAGGATGTTGAGGCCTAAAAGTAGGGTGCAGGCCTGAAGTTAGGGGCTGGTTCGGGGTTCTCAGCCTCTGCTTTTCCATTGCCTTCCCATAAGCTCCCAACATCCTGCCTCAGAGGTCCTCACCCCCCCCCCGCCAGCCCCCACCCCAACCACCTCCCCAGTTCGGCCTGGAGCCCACCCCCTCCCCAGCATCTCTCTTCAAAGGGTCAGGCCTGGGGCTCAGTCATCCTCCTACAAGGCCCCATGGGCCAAGCTTGGTCCCAGCAGTAATTACCCTCCTGGACAGGGTAATTAGGCCAAGCCCAGGATGGCACCAGCAAAACAGCCCTTCTTACACTTTCCTATATTCACTCCCCACTCACAGAACTAAGGAACCCCACTCATGTGGTTCACATTTGTCATGAGATGGGGTGTGCATGCATGTGTCTGTGTGTGTGTTGCCCCTGTGTCTGGGGTCGTGCTGTGGGCATGGTGGGGCATACTGTGAAGTACCCGTCTTTGTGTTGTCTTGGGTTTGTGGCTCTAGTTGCTGTTAGAGAGTGTATGGGCATTTTTTTTTTTTTTTAATGGAGTTTTGCTCTTGTTGCCCAGACTGGAGAACAGTGTTGCAATCTTGACTCACCGCAACCTCCAGCTCCCTTGTTCAAGCGATTCTCCTGCCTCAGCTTCCCGAGGAGCTGGGATTACAGGCATGTGCCACCATGCCAGGCTAATTTTTTTGTATTTAGTAGAGATGGGATTTCACCATGTTGGTCAGGATGGTCTCAAACTCCTGATCTCAAGTGATCCACCTGCCTCAGCCTCCAAAAGTGCTGAGATTACAGGCATGAGCCACTGTGCCCACCCAAGTTTATGGGAATGTTTATGTGAACCTGTGTCGGTGTCAGGATGGGTCTGTGTGTGTGACAAGAGGGCAGCAGGAGTGGGTGTACGTGTGTCCATCTCCCAGGCTCCCTGGCCATCCTGCCCAAGCTGCTGTCTCCATCTGTGCTGCCCACATCCCCCAGGCTCAGTGCCCAGGCCACAGTGGGCGGGTGTCATTGGGAGGTCACTCTCACCGCTAGAAGTGACTCACTGGGAGACCGGAAAAAGAGAATTCTACCTCCCCCAGCCCAGGACACACCCCTTTGCTATGTGAGGCCTGGCCCCAAAAGGCCAGGCAGATTGATGGGCCAGGCTGGAATGATGGGCTTGGCCCAACCCTGAGGGCCATGGACATGGGCTTTCTGTCCCTGTGAGGCTGTGCAGGCATCCAGGAGAGCAGTGCTCCGCCCCGCCCTCCTGCCCATGGGCAGCCATGGGGTGGGCAGGAGAGAGACTAAGGCTTTGGCAAGAGTCAGAGCCCCGAGGCTGGTAGTAGCAAGTGCAGAAGGTATGTGACAGAAACAGACAGAGGTCTCATCCTCTCTCTTAGTCACTCCATTCATTCCCCAAAACCCCTGTAGATCCAATATCTGAGGCCAATCTGGCCCTGACTTCCAGAGTACCCTCTATAAGGAGGCAGACAAGATCATAGCCAAGCGGGTGCTAAGCAGAGCTGGCCAGGCAATGGGAAGGCAGGAGAGGGAGCTCAGGTGGGCAGGATAGGAGGAAAGGTTCCCTCCTGGTGGAGACACTGAGCTGGGAAGGATGAGATCTGCATATGCAGAGAAGGGGAATGTGGAGCCTAGCGGTGGAGAGAAGGGCAAGAATGAGGCCAGGAGGCAGAAGGCAGGCACCTTTGCAAGAGGGAGGTGAGTCCTGGGGTGTGCGGTGCACGTGGAGGGAGCAGAGGGGGCTGGGCTGAAAAGATTCTAAGCCCTGGAGGGAGCTCTATCTGAGGCAAATTTCTCTGGGACTGGGAGATTGTGGATCAGCAGGAGAGAGGCTGGAAGCCAAGGAGGGGTCTGGGCAGCTGGCCGGGTCTGGCCAGGGCAGGAGCAGTGGCCCTGGGGAGCAGGGGAGGTAGGTGCATGGGACATTAGAGGCTGTAGCTGGGCAGGTAAGAGCAGGAGGGACAGAGCCGCGGGGGCTCAGCTGTGGATGCCTGGTGGCCAGGCGAAGAGGTGGGGAGGCAGGATGCTGACTTCTGACAGTGTGCCATGGGTGGAGGTGCCCAACAGAATCCTGGACAGGCTAGGGGCTGGGGCTGTGTCTTGAGATATGGACACCTTTGGCAGTGGTGAAGTGGGGGCCCCGGGGATGGTGAGGAGGGAGTGGGTGGAGAGCAGGCAGAGAGGGCTGAGGCCTGAAGGAGGGGAGGGTTTAGGGGAGAAGAGGAGGAGGCACCAGGGACGGAGCCAATACCTTGGGAAGGCCCAAGGGGAAAGTCAGATCACCATAATTATTTGCTACCACTTATTAAGCACCTTTGTGTACCAGGCCCCAGGGTAAGCATTTGTACAGGTCTTACCTCATCTAACACACAGCTCTGCAGATGAGGACGCTGGGGCACAAGGAGGGGATGTGAGTTGCTCAGGGCGGCACAGCTGGCACATGGCCTAGCTAGGATTTAAATCCTGGACTTGAGACTCCAGAACCTAACATGGGTGTGAGGTCTCTGGGGAACTAGAGAGGGCAGTTTTCATATATAGGATGTATCTCTAAACCTGGCTTCCTGGGAGGACAGAGCCAGTGGGTGGCAAGGAAGTAGGGAGGAGGGGGAAGAGACAGGATATGGGTGAGGGCCTGGGGGCCGCCTGCCCTGACCCGCCTCTTCTCCCCAGTGGTCTGCCCTCTGCCCTGCATGAACGGCGGCCAGTGCTCCTCGCGAAACCAGTGTCTGTGTCCCCCGGACTTCACCGGGCGCTTCTGCCAGGTGCCCGCTGGAGGAGCCGGCGGGAGTACCGGCGGCTCAGGCCCTGGCCTGGGCCGGGCGGGAGCCCTGTCCACAGGGGCGCTGCCGCCCCTGGCTCCGGAGGGCGAGTCTGTGGCTAGCAAGCACGCCATCTACGCCGTGCAGGTGATCGCCGACCCTCCTGGGCCGGGGGAGGGGCCCCCTGCCCAGCACGCAGCCTTCCTGGTGCCCCTAGGCCCGGGACAGATCTCAGCAGAAGGTACCAGGGGACGGGCAAACCCGGGGAGGTCGCGGTGGGCGGGCACTAGGGTGGCCAGGACTGGGCGGGATCTGCCCCGGAGGAGCTCAGCGCGGTGACCCGCGGCGCGGTATGGGCAGCCCTGAGGCCACCGCGCCCGCCTCCAGTGCAGGCCCCGCCCCCCGTGGTGAACGTGCGCGTCCATCACCCGCCCGAGGCCTCCGTCCAGGTGCACCGCATCGAGGGCCGGAACGCCGAGGGCGCGGCCCCCTCCCAGCACCTGCTGCCGCACCCCAAGCCCTCGCATCCCCGGCCGCCCACCCAGAAGCCCCTGGGACGCTGCTTCCAGGACACTCTCCCCAAGCAGCCCGTGAGTGAATCCAGAGTTGCGATCGACCGGCCTTTCCTTCTCTCAGATTTGCTCTGCACCAACTCACCCGGATAGCAGAAAACTGAGGGGCAGGGAAAGAGGAAAAGGCCCAACCCCCACAAGCGGCGCGGAGGCGGGGCGCTCTGTGACCCCATCTCCCCCTCCTCCCCCTAGTGTGGCAGCAACCCCCTCCCTGGCCTCACCAAGCAGGAAGACTGCTGCGGGAGCATCGGCACTGCCTGGGGCCAGAGCAAGTGCCACAAGTGCCCCCAGCTGCAGTGTGAGTGCCTGGGCTTAATGAAGGTTCCCCACCTGGGGGCCCCTCCCCACCCGCCCTAGCAGTGGAGTCCCCAGCCCACCGGATTCTTTTCTGCATCCTCTCTGCCCTTCCCCAGTTCCCTCCTCGCCTCCCCTGCCAAGCTGTTCTCTCTCTGCAGACACAGGAGTGCAGAAGCCAGGGCCTTTACGTGGGGAGGTGGGCTCTGACTGCCCCCAGGGCTACAAGAGGCTCAACAGCACCCACTGCCAGGGTATGGCTGGCCAGGAGATTCTGCAGACTGGAGGGGCAGGCCAGCCATCACTGGGGGTAGGGGGTCCCAAAGTGGGTGAGAGAGGAGGGGGGGCTAGGGCAGGACCCTAAGGTTCTTGGAGCAGCCTGCTGTCACTCCACTGCCTCAGACCAGAAGGGCCAAACTTCCACTTACCACAGACATCAACGAGTGTGCAATGCCCGGCATGTGTCGCCATGGTGACTGCCTCAACAACCCCGGCTCCTATCGCTGTGTCTGCCCACCTGGACATAGTTTAGGTCCCTCCCGCATGCAGTGCATTGGTGAGACCCGGGCTCAACTTCCTGGGAGGCTACAAGGCATGGATGGGAGCAAGGATCCGAGGTCACAAGAGATCAGAGTGGGGTTAAGGGTTGACTGCAGGAGGAACAAGGCCCAGAGCCAACAGAATCAGGGATCAGCCGGGTCCAGAGTCACTTGAGATCTGCCATTAGCAGTCCCATGGGGTCAGGGATTACATGGAGTCAGGCTCATGCAGATCACAGACTCAACGAGTAGGAGTGGTGAAGGCAGGGATAGCTAGAATCGCGAGTCCGTGGGGTCAGTGGTCATGTAAGTTTCAGGGGTCACATTAGTTCAGGGTCATATGGGGTCAGAGACCACACGGGGATCAGGGGTTGTTTGGGCCAGAGAGACAAGGTCTGCAGCAGCTGGGCAGAGGGACATGGGCAATGTGCAGGCTCAGATGCCCATACCTCCCACTGCCCCCTGCAGCAGACAAACCAGAGGAGAAGAGCCTGTGTTTCCGCCTGGTGAGCCCTGAGCACCAGTGCCAGCACCCACTGACCACCCGCCTCACCCGCCAGCTCTGCTGCTGCAGTGTCGGCAAGGCCTGGGGTGCACGATGTCAGCGCTGCCCAGCAGATGGCACCGGTGAGTTGGGTGCGCAGGGCCAGGGGTTCATAGGTTCCGCACCTAGCCAGGAAATGCTCACTTTTGTGTCTTGACTGCAGCTGCGTTCAAGGAGATCTGCCCAGCAGGGAAGGGATACCACATCCTCACCTCCCACCAGACACTCACCATTCAGGGCGAAAGTGACTTTTCCCTTTTCCTGCACCCTGACGGGCCACCCAAGCCCCAGCAGCTTCCGGAGAGCCCCAGCCAGGCTCCACCACCTGAGAACACAGAGGAGGAGAGAGGTCTAGCCTGGTCCCTTCTGATCCCTGACCCCTTGACCCCTGATCCACAGATCTGACCTCACAGTCTAACCCCCAATTCCTTATCCCTGACCCAACCACTGACCTCCCGCCTGATCCTCTGACCCGTGACCCAGAGATTTGACCCTGAACTATAATCTCCTAAACCTCCTACAGCCCAATCTGTAACCTAAGGCCTATCACTATCAACGTGATCATGTGACTATGCAAACACACACCCTAACCCCAGAATCTAACCCCTGACCCTTGACCTGGAGACATGATTGTTGAACTCCCAGAGGCCCTAACTACAAATACTCAGCTGCTGATCCCAGATCTGACTCCCTTCTCCCACCCCAACACTTCATGGCCCATCTTCTTCCGTTTTAGGGGTGACCACAGACTCAGTGAGTATGAGAACCCAGATGGGAGGGGCGGGCAGGCGAGGGACAGGAGAGCTCATGCTGCTGTCACCTGCAGCCGGTGAGTGAGGAGCGGTCAGTGCAGCAGAGCCACACAACTGCCACCACGTCTCCTGCCCGGCCCTACCCGGGTGAGCTGGGCACAGTAGGGATGAGTCCTTATTGGCTAAATCACTGGGTGGGCGGGGAGTACTCAGGGACCATCAAGCCGGGGTGTGGGGCGCAGCCAAGGCTGAAGTGGGAAGGGAGGCTTCAATCACCGTCCTCTCTGACCAGAGTGCACTGCCACCCGCAGAGCTGATCTCCCGCCCCTCACCCCCGACCGTGCGCTGGTTTCTGCCCGACTTGCCTCCTTCCCGCAGCGCGGTGGAGATCGCTCCCACTCAGGTCACAGGTAAGACCCGCCCAGCGAAGCCACGCCCTCAGTTTAATTTTCTCTCCTCCCCGCCTCCAGGCATTCCCTAGCGATAACAGGCTAGCGTTTATCCCGGGCTCAGCACTGGGGAAGCCTGGTGAGCAGCAGAGATCCCACCCTGCTCTAAACGATCCAAGTAATATGGGGGTGAGCTCATTCTGAGGGAGTTCATTCATTCAACAAATACTTATTAGTGTTACAGGTCTTTTAGAATTTGTCTAGCAGGTTTCCCAGTTTTCACAGGAAAACTCCCCAGGCCAAAAAAAAAAAAAAAAAAAAAAAACAAAGCCAGCCATGATGACTCACACCTGTAATCCTGGCACTTTGGGAGGCCAAGGCTGGAGGATGACTTGAGCCCAGGAGGTCAAGGCTGCAGTGAGCCATGATCGTGCCACTGCACTCCAGCCTAGGTGACAGGGTGAAACCCTGTTTCAAAAACAAAGAAAACAAACAGGCTGGCCGCAGTGGCTCACACCTGTAATCCTAGTACTTTGGGAGGCCGAGGTGGGTAGATCATGAGGTCAGGAGTTCAGGATCAGCCTGGCCAAGATGGTGAAACCCCATCTCTACTAAAAACTACAAAAATTAGCTGGGCACGGTGGCAGGTACCTGTTATCCCAGCTACTGGTGCGAGAGGTGGGGGGGAGGGGGGAGAGGGGAGGGGGGACTGAGGGAAGAGAATCAGTTGAACCCAGGTAGCAGAGGTTGGAGTGAGCTGAGAACATGCCACTGCACTCCAGCCTGGGCAACAGAGTGAGACTCCATCTCAAAAACAAAAAAAGAAAAGAAAGGAACCCAAATATTTCTTGAGCACCTACTATATCCCAGGCACTGTTGAGGTGCTGGGGATACTGCATGAACAAAAACAGACAAATATTTCCTGTCTTTGCAGAGCAGACAGGCGACAAGCTGATCGATAAGTAGAATCTCCTATGTCTTGTAAATACTATGAAAAAATAGAGCAGAAGGAAGGAATTCTGGGAGTTGTGATAAGTAGGGCAGCAATGAGAGAAGGCTTTCTGAGCAGAGTTTGAAAGATGGTTAGAAACACCAGAGAAGTGAGGAAGAGGGAGGTGTTCAAGTTGGGGAAAAGAAGATCACAAAGGAAGTCAGGTTGGGCAAAGGCGTGGAAGCGTGCGACACTGGTGGAGGGGGGGAACCACACACAGACCAGTGTCTCTGAGCCAGGAGAAGTCCAGTGCCTGGAGCCTTGTCAGGAGGCTTGAGTTTGATGCCAGAGGCTCTGGGCATAATTGCTAGCTCAGACTGAGCAGTCCCTCTGTGCCAGGGAGCATCTGAAGAGTTCTACATTCTAAATACCATTTAACCTTCTCATACGCTGCTAAATGAGCATCGTTAGCCTCATTTTCCAGTTGAGAAAGCTGAGCCTCAGAGAGGTATAGTAACTTGCCCCAGGTCACACAGCTGAGCCACATTCAAGCCCATGCCAGTGTGGGCTTCAATGCCACAAGGGAACTGTCAGCCCAACTGAAACCCTGAGCCTCCCTGAGCTCCTGGGGTGAGGGCTCAGTTGGGAGATGGCTGCTCTTGGGGGCTTTGGAAATGTGGACAAGGTCCCTCAAAGGAGGAGCTGTTAAGGAAGCCTAAGGAGAGGTACTCCAGGCAGGGAGAAGAGCCTGCAAAACCCACTTGCCAGATGGGTTTGGGGCAGAGCAGAGTTCAGTGTCATGGCCCAGGCTGCATGGCAGGCGTGAGGGGAAGGGGTGTGGGAGATGGAGCTGGTGAGTAGTGGGGATCCAAAGGATGGAGAGGTAGGCAGGGAGTCCTGGGCTTGATGACAAAGAGAGTGGAGGGTTTCCTGCATCTGACTGCCTGTGCACAGCTTTGGCACAAGTTAGGATTCCCAGAAAACCACCTCTTGCTAGCCCTCAGAGGGGGTAATAACCCTTCTGGAATGAGGGGGTCAGGTCCCTGGGGCAAGGGTTTTTGGAGTCACTGGGCTAGAGGACATTGGTGTGACTGAGGCTATAGAGTTTAAGATATTGAGGTGACTAGAGAGAAAGGGGTTTTAGTCCCTTGGGTGGTGGTACTGGGACGACTGAGGAGCCCTGAGGGGAAGTGGGTTGGTTTGGTTGAGGTGACTGGGGTCAGGAGCTTGGAGTGAGCCAGGAATGGAAGAATCAGGGGCCTGGGTGTGAGGTGACGACAGGGATGTCAGGAACCCAGAGTCCTGGTTTGGAGCTCTCTGGGATCCTGATACTGGGGTTATCTGGAATAGAGAAATGGGACATCCTAGAGTTGGAGGATGGGTTTACGGGAACTCGAGGTCATGGTGTGACTGGGGTGTGGAGGTACACCCTGGGGATATGACAGAAGGGGAGCACTCCCTGCTCTGCCCCTGACCTGGCCATGCCCGCAGAGACTGATGAGTGCCGACTGAACCAGAACATCTGTGGCCATGGAGAGTGTGTCCCAGGCCCCCCAGACTACTCCTGCCACTGCAATCCTGGCTACCGGTCACATCCACAGCACCGCTACTGCGTGGGTGAGTGCAGGGCAGAGGGTGCAGATGGGTAGTGAAGGGGAGGCAACCCTAGAGAGCGATGCTTCTTTTGACTTTTCTCGGCCTTCCTGTTCTCAGATGTGAACGAGTGCGAGGCAGAGCCCTGTGGCCCCGGGAGGGGCATCTGCATGAACACGGGCGGCTCCTACAATTGCCACTGCAACCGCGGCTACCGCCTGCACGTGGGCGCCGGGGGGCGCTCCTGTGTGGGTGAGCACCACCAGGGCGGGGGCGGCCCTGGGTCTGAAGGGCTCCCCCAACCCCCGACGGCTGTGTAATCCCCTCCCTGCCTCCTACACCCCCTTCGTGGTCCCTTCCTCCCCCACAGACCTGAATGAGTGTGCTAAGCCCCACCTATGCGGCGACGGCGGATTCTGCATCAATTTTCCGGGTCACTACAAGTGCAACTGCTACCCTGGCTACAGGCTCAAAGCCTCCCGGCCTCCTGTGTGCGAAGGTGAGGGGACCCCATCTTGACCAAAGCGGGGCTCCTTAGCTGTCTCTCCACCTGGAGTGGGGCTAGGGGGCCTGCATTTTTTTTTTTTTAAAGACAGAGTCTTGTTCTGTCACCCAAGCTGGAGTGCAGTGGCGCGATCTCGGCTCACTGACTGCAACCTCCGCCTCCCGGGTTCAAGCAATTCTCCTGCCTCAGCCTTCCGAGTAGTTGGGATTACAGGCATGCGCCACCATGCCCGGCTAATTTTTGTACTTTTAGTAGAGCCAGGTTTTCTTCATGTTGGTCAGGCTGGTCTCGAACTCCCAACCTCAGGTGCTCCACCCGCCTCAGCCTCCCAAAGTACTGGGATTACAGGCATGAACCACCTTGCCCAGCCTGCATTTTCATTCTTTCTTTTCTTTTCCTTTTTTTTTTTTTCTGTTCTGAGATGGAGTTTTACTCTTGTTGCCTGGGCTGCTGTGGCGTGATCCCGTCTCACCACAACCTCTGCTTCCCAGGTTGAAGCGATTCTCTTGCCTCGGCCTACCGAGTAGCTGGGATTACAGGCATGCACCACCACGCCTGGCTAATTTTGTAGTTTTAGTAGAGACAGGGTTTCACCATGTTGGTCAGGCTGGTCTCGAACTCTTAACCTCAGGTGATCTGCCCACCTTGGTCTTCCAAAGTGCTGAAATTACAGGCGTGAGCCACCGCACTCGGTCCGTCCTGCATTCTTGTCTCTGCTCGGCTCCAGGGCTCTCAGCGTTGGGGGTCTAGTAGTCTCGTTAATCTGTATCGGAGGAAGGCACTGCTGTGGACTCTGGGAGCCAGCCCACCCACGTTGTCCCCAGATGAGTCCTCTTCCTTCTCCCTCTGGCCCAGACATCGACGAGTGCCGGGACCCGAGCTCCTGCCCGGATGGCAAATGCGAGAACAAGCCCGGGAGCTTCAAGTGCATCCCCTGTCAGCCTGGCTACCGCAGCCAGGGGGGCGGGGCCTGTCGTGGTGAGGGTGGGGTCCGGGGATGAGTGGGCGGGGCCGCCGGGTGCTGCCCCTCCCGGGTGTTCCCCCCCATCTGGCTCCGCTTGGGGCAGGGCAGGGCCAGCGGTGGTGATTGGCATCTGTGGGCGGGGCCTCCCGGGAGTAGAGGCTGCCCCCTCAACCCAGCGTCCCCAGGAGAAGGAGACCTATACACTGCGCGGTGCCTGGTCCGCCTTCTGGTGTCTGAGGCTAGCTCTTTCCGCCGCAGACGTGAACGAATGCGCTGAGGGCAGCCCCTGTTCGCCTGGCTGGTGTGAGAATCTGCCGGGCTCCTTCCGTTGCACCTGTGCCCAGGGCTACACGCCCGCACCCGACGGCCACAGTTGCGTGGGTGAGTGCCAGCAACCCCGCCTCGGACCTCTGCCACCCCCCCACACGCTGAAACCGGGGAGCGTGTCAGTCTGTCTGTAAATGGTGGGTGGAAGATGGCTCATTCATCCCCAGGTGACTGGTCACTCATTTTCTCAACGAACCATGCCAAAGAAGCGACCACTAGAATTTCCATGTAGGAAGAGTCTTAGGGGGCAGAGCTTGACGGTGCATTTGCAAAGCATGTTACTTAAATTTGAAGGAAAACAACATATCAAAGAATGGGGGGAGGCGATAGTAGTTCCCCTGCACTCATATTTATTATATACCAAGAGGCGGGGCTGGGGGCTGCGACTCAGAGAAAACTAGAGAAGGAAAGACACAGAGTAGTGTGCAGTGCTGGGCCTGGATGGAGCTGGGCTGCTTCCTGGGGACACAGCGGAATGGGAGGAAGGAGGCCTGGGTCGTCTTAAAGAATCACTAGGAATTAGGCAAGCAGCAAAGGAGGAGGAGAGGAACAGCACGCCAGGAACAGGGCACTGGTGAATCAGAGGTGAGACAGGGCAGGGTGAACAGGAACTGTAAGGAATGACCAGGGGATGGGGGCTGAGGCCAGCTGGGGAGGGGTAGGTTCCCACCCCTTGGAGTGCCCCCTAATTCCTGCCTGGGAGGTTATGCTTTGCACAGAAGGTGTTAGAGGGCAACTGAAGAATTTTAAGGTCAAGAGTGACATGATTTGCCATTTGTCTTAGAACATCCCCTGCTGCTGAGCGTGGAGGGTGGCTGGAGGTCTGTTGGAGAGACTTAGGGGGGAGACAGTGGTGGGCGGGATGAGTGATGGCCTCAGGATGGCCATGATACGATGATACTAGAGAAATATGAGACCTCCTGGGTTTTTTAACTGGATGTCATGTGAAGGGGGTGGGGGTAATGAGCAGCATATTTGGGAGGGAAAATGCTGAGCTACACACCGGACAAATTGAGTGGGTCGTCTCTGTGAGCCTCTCAGCAGGAGATGCCAGCATACCCACCTGGAATGATGGACCATGGACCTGGGGAGCTGTGGCGTCTTGGGTGGGCCTGCTTAGCCAACCCAAGGTGGGTTGGGTAAGCAGAGCATTTCGCAGAGCCTTGTGGACACTGACAGTTCAAGGGCAGGCTGGGGAAGGCATTGGAGGAGATGGTAGAGGAGGGATGGTGGGGGCGCCTGAGGGGTACCATCTGAGAAGGATATATTTCCAGGGAAGGAAGAGGATGAGCCAAGTGTAGTAGAGGGGTTCTTGTAAAATCAGAACTGGTGAGACAACAAGTCTTAGGACAAGACTTGGGGGTCTGCCCCCTAATCCTACATGGAAATTCTAGTGATGTCTTACTTGGCAAGAAGGTCCCTGGTGGCCTTGGCAGGGTGGCTTCTGTGACATGATGGGGACTGAGGCCAGGATATGTGGGCAGCAAGAAGGAAGAGGAAGACCTGGGGACTCTTGCTCTTTCTAAGTGGGGCTTTGGTATAGGCTGAGGAGGTGATGCCAGGGGAGTAGGCCAGGAGACATGGGCTCAGGGGTCAGGAGAGGAGGGAGAAGAGCCAGTGGGTAGCTGGCTGTGGACAGGGGAAAGGACATCTCTTGTAGTAACAGGAGCAAGAGGGGAATGGACGTAGATAATGATGTTCAGCGGGTTAAGGGCAATTACCCTTAATCCTCAATATACAGGGAAGGGCATGGGTTGAGTAGGGGACTCTGGAGAACAATGGCAGTTTGGAAGTGCCCCAGGACATGGGGCTGCCTAGGAGCTTTATGGAAGTCAAGGCTTGAGAGGATTCAGAGAGGGAGGTGCCAGCCACATGGGGCGCTGCTGGACTGAGGCTGAAGCATGTGGCTGTGGCTCAGCGTGCTCACGTTGGTGGCTGCTCCAGGTCCACTCTGCACCCAGGATACACAGGCCACAGCTCTGACTGGAGGCTGGGCTTTGCCAGACCAGTGAGGAGGAAGGAGAGGTATTTATGGACCAAGGACTGGAGTCCTATGGATGATGAGCCCTGGGGTCCTGCTGGGAATGGTCAGAGTCTGGGGGTATCAGGCAAACTTGGAGGACTGAGAGGGAGGCCACTGGGCCCTGAGAGAGAAGGTGGAAGTGAGGACTTGAGAACAGTAGAAAGAGGGCAGTCTCTGAGGGCCCTGGGGTGGGGCAGATCTGAGTGATGAAACCCCTTGGAATTCTGAGAGTGGGGAGAAGGTCACGGAAGCCGAGGGATCCAGGAACGTGAGGTCAGAGGTTGGCCTGATTGTCTGAGGGGACGTTGGAAACTCCCAGAATGGAGAGGAAAACAGAGCTGGTAGAACAAGGAAGGTGGGTGCTGACAGCCACAGGAGGGCAGAGCCTGCAGGAGGCCGGTGGCACCTCAGAGGCAGAGTCATGGCTTGGTGAGGTCTGGGTGTGGACAACCAGCTCCACCAGAGAGGCCTCAGGAAAGTGTGTTCCGGGGAGGGTCAAGTTATTTTCCTGCATGAGCAGAAGAAAGTGGGAAGGATAAGGATAGGGAGTTTATCCACTCAGGAAGAACGGAGCTGTGGCAGGTAAGGGAAGGGTGGGAGCAGCCCTGAAAGCAGCTGGAGGAGGGAGAGACGGTGGGGGAGGCTCTTTAGCAACAGACCTGGCCCAGGATGTGCCACCCAGAAGCAGGGTGAGGCCCGTGCTTCTGAGTGCTGGAGCTCTGATGCTCCCGGCATGGGTAGAAGTGAGGAAAGAGTAGTAGAAATGCAAGACCACCCAGCCTGGCCCTCTGACACTGTGCCCTGCAGATGTGGACGAGTGTGAGGCTGGGGACGTGTGTGACAATGGCATCTGCACAAATACGCCAGGATCTTTCCAGTGTCAGTGCCTCTCTGGCTACCATCTGTCCAGGGACCGGAGCCACTGCGAGGGTGAGGCATCTTAGAGCTGGGGTGCTGACCTGTCCCTCCCTACCCCGGGACCCCCACTGCCCACCTCCAGTCCCTATCCAGATCTCAGTTGGGGCATGGGGGTGTGGGACTGACGCAGGGCTCTGGGGGAAAGCTTTGGCAGCCTCAGGCTCGGTGGGGTGGTGATTAGCCCTTGAGATTTTTCCACCCCTTCCTTCCCCTACAGATATTGATGAGTGTGACTTCCCTGCGGCCTGCATTGGGGGTGACTGCATCAATACCAATGGCTCCTACAGATGTCTTTGCCCCCAGGGGCATCGGCTGGTGGGTGGCAGGAAGTGCCAAGGTATGGGGGACTGGCTTAGGGTTCCTGAGGGGTGCAGCAGGGAGCAGTAATTCCCTAGACATACTATGGCCTTTCTCTTTCTTTCCATTCATCTATCCACCCATCCATCCATCCATCCATCCACCCACTCAGCTTTCCACTCTTTCACCTAGAATAACAATGATCACAGTAAACATGACAGTTAGTGCTATTGTGGGGCTTATGATGTGCCAGACACTCTGTTAAGCTCTTTACAGATATTAATGTATTAGTCTTAGCCATCAACTCACCTATACATGCATTCATCCAACAAAAGTTTGGGCCAGGCGTGGTGGCTCATGCTTGTAATCCCCAGCACTTTGGGAGGCCGAGGTAGGCAGATCATGATGAGGACAGGAGTTCAAGACCAGCCTGGCCAATATGGTGAAACCCCATCTCTACTAAGAATACAAAAATTAGCCAGGTGTGGTGGCACACACATGCAGTCCCGGCTACTTGGGAGGTTGAGGCAGGAGAATCGCTTGAACCCTGGAGGTGGAGGTTGCAGTGAGCTGAGATTGCACCACTGCACTCCAATCTGGGTGACAGAGTGAGACTCCATCTCAAAAAAAAGTTTGAGTACCGACTATTTTCCAGGATCTATGCTTTGTACTAGGTAATCAGCAATTAGCCAGGGCTCCCAGCTAGGGGAGGCCGACATGTAGACTCATTCTGACAGTTCAGGATCCTTGGTGCCAAGAAAGGTGTGGACTCATGATTAACTGCAATGGGGAGGTGAATGTTGAACTGGACTTGAGGCATAAGTAGGGGTTCCCTAGGCATGGGAAAGGCAAGGCACGGGAAGTCATTCTAGGACCAAAGAGCAGTAGTTGCAAAACACAGAGATCTGGAAGGAGCTAGTTGTGTTTACGGAGGAGGGGAGGGTGCCCTCAGCACAGAGCCGGGGAGTGGAGGGTGGACCAGAGTAAGGCATGATGAGACCTAAAGGTATTGGAAGCCCAGTTCAAAAGGCATCAAATGCCAAGCTGAGTGAGTGGTGTTTGAGGCCTTTCCCTTTGGGCTTCCAATACCTTTAGGTCATGTAAAGGTAGTGGGAGCCACTGAAGGTGTTATGAAGGAAAGCAGCGAATGTGCACATGTAACATGCACACACTGACACAGCAGACTTCCTGCTGTACACACTTTGAAACCAAAGTGGAAAATTCAGGTTCTGAACTTGTGTGAGGCCCTTGAGGTACAGCCCCAGGGAAAGAGGGGCTGGGTTTCTATCTGAGCTACTCTTGCCCCCCAGACATAGATGAGTGCAGCCAGGACCCGGGCCTGTGCCTTCCCCATGGGGCATGCAAGAACCTGCAGGGCTCCTATGTGTGTGTCTGTGATGACGGCTTCACTCCCACCCAGGACCAGCACGGTTGTGAGGGTGAGTGTCCTCCCAGCTCTCCGTCAAAATGGACAGCTCCCCTGAGCTGCAGCTGGGGTTCAGATGTGTCCTGGCCCCACCCTCCTGAATTTGGGGAACCAGAAGAAATCCCTTTTGGCTGGGGGAGTCTAGTGGGGCCAGATCATGAAGGGCCCAGAACACCCCATTGACAACAGAGCCAGCTCTCAGGAGGCGGCTCAGGGGAGCCAGGGAAGGTGGGAGGAGAGAGCTGTGGTGGGTGGGCAGGGTGGACAGGGCCAAGGCGGTCTGTGCATGGCCCTGAGCTGCCCCTCCGCCCTTCAGAGGTGGAGCAGCCCCACCACAAGAAGGAGTGCTACCTGAACTTCGATGACACGGTGTTCTGCGACAGCGTATTGGCCACCAATGTCACCCAACAGGAGTGCTGCTGCTCGCTGGGCGCCGGCTGGGGCGACCACTGTGAAATCTACCCCTGCCCGGTCTACAGCTCAGGTCAGGGAGCCCAGCAGGTCCCTTCCCAGATCTTCAGTTTGTTCATCTGGAAGCCAAATGTGGGAAATAGCGCCCCCTGGCAGTTAGGAAATAGGCGGCGGGCTGTGGCCCTAAGCCCACACGCACGCTCAGCCCTGCCTCTTCCCTCCCCATGGCCACCCTGCCACCGCAGCCGAATTCCACAGCCTTTGCCCAGACGGAAAGGGCTACACCCAGGACAACAACATCGTCAACTACGGCATCCCAGCCCACCGTGGTAAGCGCCCCGCGGCTCCCCCCACCCCGCGCCCACTCACCTGGGCTTGGGCTCGTCTGGATCCCTTGCCGGGCTGGCGGGTCAGCTGCCCTTGCCGGGAAAGCCCCACCCGCACCTTCCTCGCCGGCCCCGCCCCTCTGGTAGGCCCCGCCCCTCACCCGCGGAGATGGAGCAGCCACGGTTTGTCACCCCGCAGACATCGATGAGTGCATGTTGTTCGGGGCCGAGATCTGCAAGGAGGGCAAGTGCGTGAACACGCAGCCTGGCTACGAGTGCTACTGCAAGCAGGGCTTCTACTACGACGGGAACCTGCTGGAATGCGTGGGTGAGCTCAGCTCCCCGACGGACGGCCGTGGGCAAGCGGCGGGGAGACATGCGCCACTGCGCCCACCCGGGGCCTCCCCCTGCCACCCACGCTTTTCCTCTCCGCAGACGTGGACGAGTGCCTGGACGAGTCCAACTGCCGGAATGGAGTGTGTGAGAACACGCGCGGCGGCTACCGCTGCGCCTGCACACCCCCAGCTGAGTACAGCCCCGCGCAGCGCCAGTGCCTGAACCCGGAGGAGATGGGTGAGGCCCGGGCCCAGGAGCGGGGAAGTAGGAGGGGCGGGGCCCGGATCAAACTGTGAGGGCCCCCACCCACCCCCTCGCTGTTCGTAGACGTCGACGAGTGCCAGGACCCGGCAGCCTGCCGCCCTGGCCGCTGCGTCAACCTGCCGGGCTCCTACCGCTGCGAGTGTCGCCTGCCCTGGGTGCCTGGCCCCTCCGGCCGCGACTGCCAGCTCCCCGAGAGCCCGGCCGGTGAGGGCGAGGGTCGGCTTGGGCCAACCCTGGGGCCCTGTCCTTCGTGTGGAGCCCCAGGGCTGCGGCCCCCCTCGCGGTGGGGTGGAGCTGAGGGGGGCGGTCCCTGCCTCGGGCCGCTCCCTGATGCCAGGTGCTGTCCACAGAGCGCGCCCCAGAGCGGCGCGATGTGTGTTGGAGCCAGCGCGGAGAGGACGGCATGTGCGCTGGCCCCCTGGCCGGGCCTGCCCTTACCTTCGACGACTGCTGCTGCCGGCAGGGCCGCGGCTGGGGTGCTCAGTGCCGCCAGTGCCCGCCGCGTGGCACCGGTAAGGCGGTCAGGGAGAAACTGGCTGGGAGCGAGGATGGGGGCCAGCGCCTGGGGACCCGGAGGTTGCTGACCAGTCCCGCCCCTCCCAGGATCCCAGTGCCCGACATCGCAGAGCGAGAGCAATTCCTTCTGGGACACGAGCCCCCTGCTGCTGGGGAAGTCCCCGAGAGGTAGGTGCTGCTGTGGGAGGTGGTGGCGGGGATGGTAGCCTTTGGCCGGGGGTCAGTGTTGAAGTCCGTATTGTCCCGGGCCACGCAGATGAAGACAGTTCAGAGGAGGATTCGGACGAGTGTCGCTGTGTGAGCGGCCGCTGCATGCCGCGGCCAGGTGGCGCAGTGTGCGAGTGTCCTGGCGGCTTCCAGCTCGACGCCTCCCGTGCCCGCTGCGTGGGTGAGAGGGGATCGGGGGTGGGGCAGGGGCGGGGCCGGTGGCAAGGGGCCGCCTGGAGGCTCAGCGGAGCTGCACCTGTCGCCCCCACCTACAGACATTGACGAGTGCCGAGAGCTGAACCAGCGCGGGCTGCTGTGCAAGAGCGAGCGCTGCGTGAACACTAGCGGCTCCTTCCGCTGCGTTTGCAAAGCCGGCTTCGCGCGCAGCCGCCCGCACGGGGCCTGCGTTCCCCAGCGCCGCCGCTGACGCCGCCCTCAGCCAGACTTCTGTGATCACTGGCGAGTCTCCACGAGCTCGGCCTCTCACTCCTGCCCCGAGGCCAGGGACTTTCGGGGTCCCCAGACCCCACCCTGCGACTTGGGACCCGAGTCGCCCCTACTGGCCTGCCCGGTTGGCAGGCGGTTGTAAGGTCTCGGGCGGGCACTGCCCGCCTTCCTCCCAGAGGGCGTCTCCTAGAAACTGATAGATCGTGCCTCTTTACTCTTAGCTTTCGAAGCAAATTGGTGTTCACGTCTGACGTGGGCGCGGACTGCGCAGGGCAGTGCCAGACCCCAGCCGCCTCCCGGGGCTAGACTGAGCTGGGCACAGGGGGTGTGAAATAGAATTTAATGTGGCTCTGATTATGTACAGGTGAGGGCCTGGCCAGGCCGGCCGGGCTCACATGGTTTGTACAATAAATACATCCTTGGAGTGGGATCTCCGCAGCTGGGAAGCGCCACTGCCACAGTTCAGTCCAGCTTCCGGGCTCCCAGCTTCATGGGGCCCTTGGCCGCCTTCTTCTCTGCGCGTTTGGCCTCCATCTCCCGCCGCCGCTCCTCGCGCTTCTTCCGGGCCAGCTCAGCCTTCGCCTGTCCTGGGGTCAGGAAGGGGAAGCCGGGTCTCAGCTCTTCAGCCAGCACTTGCCCGGGGCCTGTAGGCTAGTCAGGAAGCCCTAGTCTTCAGCCCACCCAGGGGAAGCACTTACGGCTCTCAATCTCGAGGCCCTCCCAGTTGTCTTCACCCCAGGAGTCCGGCCTGGGCTGTAAAGAGAAGTGTGGGCTGCAGTGGGGCCGACTTATGGCTGAGGTCCACCATCTCTACCCTCCCACCAGACCTGTGCTGGATACCTGGGTGCTGGCACGTGCAGACAGGGTAGCGAAGGGGTCACCCTTGTCACTGGACTCTGAGCCACCCCAGTTATACTCGCTGGCCAGCCTTGTACCCTCAGGAGGTGGCTCCTGGGAGCTTGGCTCCTGCCAGCCCTGTTCCCAGGAGCCCTCAGCTTCCCAGCTGCTCCAGTCGGACTCTGGGGATTTGGAGGATTTGTGGTGGGAGTTGCTGACCTGTAGAAGAGTGGGACGGGGAAGTAGCCCTGGGCTCACTGAGGAAAGGGCTCCCCGCCTCCAAAACACACACACACATACCCGCCTGCCCCAGCTCACCTGACTAGCACGGCTCATTTGGCCCCCAGTGTTCCAGTCGTCCTGCTGGGCCAGCACAGACTCAGCCTCCTGCTGCAGTGTGGGAAGGGACCACTGAATCCCACCCCATGCTAAACGGCAAATGAGCCAACCCCAGCACCATCCCAGCCACAGGCTCCACCACTGTCTTTTACCTTCTTCCTCATTTGCTCCTTAGGCTCTGTTTCCCATCTATTAAGTGGATGAGCTGACGCTGGCCTGCCCTTACCCCTCTTTTTTTGAGACAGTCTAGCTCTGTCGCCCAGGCTAGAGTGCAGTGGCGTGATCTTGGCTCACTGCAACCTCTGCCTCCTGGGTTCAAGCGATTCTCCTTGTCAGCCCCCCGAGAAGCTGGGACTACACTCGTGCACCACCATGCCTGGCTAATTTTTATATTTTTAGTAGAGATGGGGTTTCATCATATTGGCCAGGCCGATCTCAAACTCCTGACCTCATGATCCATCCGCCTTGGCCTCCCAAAGTGCTGGGATTACAGGCATGAGCCACCATGCCCAGCCTCCCTTACCCCTCTCTGAGGCTAAGGAATGAGATCTAGATGCTCCTTCCCACAGCCTTGAGGGCCAGAATATGGTGCTGTCAGCCAGATGGGGAAACTGGGCCCCCAGCCCTGCCCCATTCTCCCGAAGGCAGCCCCACTCCTCCCTTCGCCCATCCTAAGCCCATCCCCCAAGCAGAACTGGTCTGGTTCGAGACCCAGGAGTGGCCTCTCCTTGCTGACCGCCAGGGCTGGGTGGGCACTGGAGAAGAGGGAGGAGGGACATGGTATGGGGGAGAGTGAGGAAGTATGGGTAATGTCCCAAGTGCCATCTGCCCAGCCTGTTCCCTGGAGCTGCTGGGGTTGAGTGGAGCCCTGCTGCTGGCTCTGGCCTATAGCAGCCCCTCCATGAGGCCTACATGCCAGGGATGCCATGCAGATGAGGCCAGGCCCGCTCCAAGCAGGCCCCATGGAAGCTCCCTGGACGGAAGGCTGTGAATTTGAGCTTGGGTCCCCTGGGGAGGCTCCCTCAGCCCCACACACCTCCAGGCTGCCCCAGTCTTCATCATCCCATCTGTCAGCAGCACTGCTGTCCTCTGCTGTGTCCTTGTCCTCCTCCTGCGTCTCCCAGTGGCTTGAGGTTGTAGGGGTGGCAGGAACAGGGGTAGGGGCTGGGGCAGGAACTCCTGTGGAGCAGTGGCTCACTGAGCTTTCAGGGGGGTCTTAGGACAGGGCAGAGGCTGCTGGGGGAAGGGGGCTACTGGGGGAAAGGAGCACCAGGGAAGCCCACAAGGTGCCTAGGCCCAGTCCCTATGTCCCCTTCACCATATCCAGGGTTCAGACAATAACAGTTCCCAGGTGCCTGAGCTCCCAGCCCTCTCAGCTGCTGACGCAGCCAGGCTAGAATGCTCACCTTCAGGCGTGGGCCTTTGGGGAACGTTGGTCTCTGTGGGGGCAGTGGTGGGGTGCGCACGGATAAGCTTGGAGGTGAGTGAGGAGACCCCAGTCACGGCCCAGCCTGCCCAGCTGGCTGCGGCTCCTCCCATGCCAGGGCTGGAGGCTGCATGGACGTCCTTCTCTGGGCAGTGGTATGAGAGAGAGGTGGATATGGGCACCTCAGGCACCCAGGGGATGACAGGATGGCAGGAACTGACAGTGCCCTGTAGCTGCCCCTCCCTTCTCCAGGCCTGAGTTCTCCCGTCTGTGAACAGGGGGCCATGTCCAGTCTGCTTCCTAGGGCCTTTCACAAACTCCAGTGGGGGTGGGACACAAACAGGTCACAGTCAAAGGCATGGCACAGAAAGAGGGAACATGAGTGTAAGCCACTCACCCACTGCCTCCAGCTGGGTTGGGTCCTCTGACACAGACTCCAGTTTGGATAGGAAGCTCCGAATGGCCTTGAAGGCCTGTGGGGTAACAAGGAGCAGAGCTGGGGCCTCTGGGGTTCCCAAGAGCCTGCCAGACCAGCTAGGGCCTGACATCCCCCACAGCCCCAGCCCAGGGCTGGCTATGCCTCACCTGGTCCCGAACGGATTTCTCAGGATCTACAGTGAGGCCACAGAGCACAGGCAAGATCTTATGGGCACAGTCATTCATTGAGTAGAGGTTGTGGGTGGCAGCAAAGCCCAGGACACCCGCAACCCGGGATGGTGCAAACGGGTCCTTAGTGGCTCGGCTGAAGGCGGAGGTAAGGACCCTGTGTCTGGTCTGTGATGGGGCAGGAAGGAAAGAGTGCTCCTGAGTGTGGGGTCAATGTTGGGGCCCAGAACCACCAACCCTTACTTCCCAGAACAGGGCCACCCATAGGCCCCCAGAGCTGGAAAAATGTGAATGAATCACTTAAATGGGGAGAGCTTACCAAAAACTCTGGACCTGGGCTTCTCTTCCCAAATCACTGGGCTCCTCCCACTGCTGCCACCTGCCACTGCTGCCACCTCCCACTGCTGCCTCAGGGCATGAGACCACAACAGCAGCTGCCCCCAGGGCTGGGACGCAGGCTCCCTTCCTCCCTGCCCAGCTGACCATTCATTTCTGTTACCTGTCTGGGCACGGCAAGCACCTGAGCTTGCAAACCCTGGCTGAGGGACCCACACAGGCTGTGGGGCCAAGGGGGCCTGGATTCGGATCTCAGATCCACCCCCTCCTGGCTGTGTGACCTGGCCCAACTCACTCCACCTCTGGGAACCCAGATATGAGGCCAACAGTGCCCAGGGCCTAGGTATCCGGGAGGATGAGGGCCCACACACGCAGGACTCCTGGCCTTGGAAGAAGCCGTGGTCCTGTGACAGGGACCAGGCTTCAGCAGTCGTACAGGACACTCACACTGGCACTGAGGTAGGAGCCAATTTTGCCCAGGCAGACCGTGGTGTTGCAGCGGATGGGGCCCTGTTCATCCTTGGCCTGCAGCCGTGCAAAGTGCTTCATCAGCTCCACATTGAGGTTGGTTTCACTCAGCTTCGGGGCCAGGAGCAGCATGGACTGCGGGGCAGAAAGGAGGGTGGAAACTGGGCTGTGGCAGGCAAAGGGCCTTGTGCACAAACAGCCTCCTGGCAGCCCTCAGCAGAGCACACCTGTCAAAGCCTGCAAAGCCACCTCCCAGCCTGGGCCTGGCCCTGCCCAGCATGTTGAGGAAAGGGACCCCATTTCTGTCCCCTTTTACAGAAAAGTCTCCCAAGTCCATCTGTACTCCTGTCTCCCATTTCCTCTGCTCTCCTGATGGCACTCCACCTAGGCTCACAGAAACAGCCCCACACTCCGCCCAACTGGCTCAGGGTGAGGTCACTGATGCCCTCCACAGTGCTAACTTCAACGGCCATTCTCCATCGCACCAAACTTGACCCTCAGCAGTTCTGACACCCCTGGTTTTTCCTCCTTGAAACTTTGGTCTCTGGTCTTCCAGGACACCAGCCCCTCCTGGTTCTCCTCTGCCTAGTTGGCTGTTCCTTTTGCTGAGATTCTAATGTTTACACACTCGGGGCCAATCTGGAGGGCTCTTTTATATCTAACACTCTTGCCCTGGGCCAATCTTGAGGGCTCTTCTATATCTAAATGCCTTCTTGTGAGCCGACAACTCCCAGGCGTGTACCCCTAGCCCAGACGTCCCTAAACTTCACACATGCGTAACCAAAAACCAACTCAACATTTCCATCCAGAGGCCTAACAGAAAAAGCCAAGATGGGGCCCAACCTGCTTGCGTCATCTTCTCAGTAAATAGCAACTCTTAACCTTCCAATTGCTCAGGCCACAAGCCTCAGAGCCACCCTCATCTCCACCATATCTTTTTTTTTTTTTTTTTTTTGAGACAGTGTCTCACTCTTTTGCCCTGGCTGGAGTGCAATGGCACAATCTCCGTTCAGTGCAACCTCTGCCTCCCGGGTTCACCCAATTCTTCTGCCTCAGCCTCCCAAGTAGCTGGGATTACTGGCATGCATCACCACACCCAGCTAATTTTTGTATTTTTAGTAGAGACAGGGTTTCACCATGTTGGTCAGGCTGGTCTTGAACTCCTGATCTCAGGTGATCCACCCACCTCAGCCTCCCAAAGTGTTGGGATTACAGGCGTGAGCCACCGTGCCCGGCCCCTCAAGTCCATATTTACCCATCAGCAAACACTGGCAGCTCCACCTTCAGCATGTGGCCCCTTCTCGCCACCTACTGCCAGCCACTGTCATCCATCACCTGGGCCACTGCAAAGCCCTTAACAGTGTCCCAGCATCTACCCTTGCCCTGAAGGTCAATTCTCTACACAGCAACCCAGCAATCCTTTTAAAACAAGTCAGACAATGTCACTGCTCCACTCAA